GTGTTGAGTTGCAGGTGGTTTGTGTGACTCCATGCGACAAAGTTCCTCACCAGACTTCTGTACTCCTCTTCCTGTTCATCCCAGATACACCCCATGATGACTGTGTCGTCTGCAAACTTCTGAATGTGGCATAATTCAGAGTTGTAGCAGAAGTCAGAGGTGTACAGGGTGAAAAGAAGAGGGGACAGCACAGTTCCCTGTGGTGCTCCTGTGCTGCTGACCACAGTGTCAGACGTGATGGTTGTGTGGGTAAATCCCAGTTAATCAGCAGTTTATGAAATAGTCAGACCAGCCGGTCTGGCACCATGTCACTACCATGTCACACTCAAAGTCACCTTTCTTCCCCAGGTTTCAACTTCAGCACATTGTCTTGACTTGTTACATGCCTAAATGCATTGAGCTGCTGCCATGTGATTGGCTGGTTACATATTTGCATTCATGAGAAGTTGAACAGGTGTACCTAAGAAAGGAGCCAGGAGTGAACATATTAATTTCATATTTTCAGAGGCTAAATCCAGCAAATATATATGTATTTGTGTATATGTATAATAATATATGTATAACTATGCATGTGACAAATAAAGAACCATAAACCTTGAAATATGTGTCATCAATAATGGAAGAACTTTAAATTCAAGGCATGATATACTAATTAAACTTCAATGCTACCAAATAATGCAAGTACATATTAAATAATTTAAAAATCCATTTATTATTTCAGATTTTTTCCGCCTTTGTTATACAAAGATGTTAAATAACTTAAATACATTCTTACCAGTCATTTGTGATCTGTTTAAACCTACAAGCTATACACATGAGGTAGAGGAAAATAATTTAGAGTTCCCATAAGACATGAATAAGTGAACATGGACAAAGCTTTGTTGGTGTAATATTATCACAAAGGACAATACATAGCTGGTGTATTTTATCTTTGTTTTACAAGCACAGCACAAATCCTAACAAAAAGTACATGTACATGTAAAGTGACCCAAAGGTGAACAAGTCCATACTGATCATCAGTCCTTTCACAACACCGCTGATTATACAAGATTAAGTTCTATAAAATATTCTTGATAACTGTGATTTTCTTTGCATGCTTTCAGAAACTGCATTACCGCGAGCGAATTAAACCAACTAAAAGTGAGCTGATTTGAATTTTGTTAGGATTTGTTAGTGCTTAGATAACAATCTTGAGATATAAAATGAAATATGTTGATAGTATACACTGCTTCTCGAAGCCTCCACCCCAAAAGGAACAAACACCCAAAAAGAAAACAGAGTAAAAAATACAGGATATAAAATCAATTTAGACTTTGAAGTTATTTACACTAAACACATGCTCATAATATATTTAAAAAATAATTTATCTTTCTTTTCTCTACAACATAGAATTTTGTACATGATCCACTGATGACTAAACAGTGCAGAGTTTTGGATTTGAGAGCGTGGATGACTGTGACATCTAAAAACCCAGCGGACTGCTGCATCATGCTCCTCTTTTCTGGAATAAATTTCTACGCCTATGTACAATCTATAAACAAACAAAAATGCAATCTGTTTGCATTTCCTGTCGTGTCTGCTTTGAATCCGTTCAATAGTAGAGAACCTCACCGTGTTTGGGCCGAGGCGGAGTGTGTGGCGCAAACACACACCAGAAGCTGTGGCGAGCAGGCATTTGTGCTTTGCGTCTCTGCATAGCTATTATGGTTTCCATGTAGCGTGCAAAGTTCTATGTATATGTTTTGACCAGTCTTTATTTGGCATGCCATCTCATATCAAAATGCTTGGAATTCATCTCCTTTAGACAAATAAGCCACGCGCGGTTCTCTTCTTATCAGAGGGAGCTTTGATTTAGATCACTGTGAAACTCCTTTTTAAAAATGCACTGTGCAGCATTGATGATTGAAATCTGTAACCATCTCGTTTCAGCAGCAGTATGCCGTTTCAGCAAATGCTTCACTCATTTATTTAATTTCAATTTGTGTTTCAGATGCTTGTGAGAGTTGAACATGTGCCTCACTTTTGTCTCTATACCACAGGAGAAGAAACCTTTGCTATTTACATTTTTTAATAAAAAACAAGAAGAAAAAAAGATTCTGCACTGCACTGTATCCATAAATACAGATCTTTAAATACTTTAAAGGGCTTTTGGGCTTCAGTGCGTGAATGGTGCTATAATACAAAGCTGGGTCCCTCACTCAGTAGTTAATTCACACCAATCTAAAATATGGCCTATAAGGTCCTGTGTTTGATAAGATATAATGTTTCTGAGCACTAAGTGCTGAGAATATGACAAAAGTTTGTCTGCATTGTTTGTGTGTACAGAGGCATTTCTCATAAAACTGTAATGGAAACAATTTGCATGTTCTTCTAGGTCACGAGAAGAGAAACTAAAGTTATCAGTCAGCTAGTTAGCTTTGCATAAACGCCGCAAACTTGGACACAGCGAGACTGAAATGTGCCCGAAGGTATCAAAAGCCACCTTTCAGTACCTTTAAGGTTCACTGATTAACAAGTTACATCCTGTCTGTTTAATATGTACAAAAAAGCGTAACAAAGACGAGGCGTGGTTTAACTTCCTGGATTAAACAAACAAGATATAGGAGGCCAAACAGTGAGTTTAGAGGTGCTGATGGGCTAATTTTGTTAAAAGTAGCAGTTTCCTCTGTTTCTTTATGATAGGCTAAGAAAAAGCCAGACTGAAGTTTATTATTTCATACCACGCAGTACTTCCTGCAGTGTCAAACCGTCACTCTTGTATGGTGGGGTCAGCATGCTGCGTTGTGTTAACTGTGTCAAAAGGTGCTCAGCAACAAGATGAAAAGGTAAAGTTAACTTATAAAAACAACTTCACTGACTTCAGAAAGAAGACAGCCGATTAGTAAAACGTAGACATAAATTTGCGGAACAATTACACAAATATTAGTTTTATAATAGATCTTTATATTAGCTAAGAGGCTTATGTTTTCATCTTCACTTGAACAAAAAGTCAGTCGCCCCATACTGTTTGAACTTCCACTGTACACACTGCGTGTCAATGTATTTCATATGGCTCAATCAAATTTGAGGAAGCAGAAGACGAAGGAAGAATACGAAATGGCAGGGAGTTAAATTCCTCCAGTTCTCCACAGTTTTCTTTAGAACTTCAAAGTAGATTTAAGCTTCACAAAGCTCTACAATTTTTGATCCGAGTCTCACGTGGGCCTTCTGCTGATCGAGAGATCACCTGTTGCTATGCTTTTGACTGTAATAACAAGGCCGCTGTCATCTCCACCTTGGATTCGGATGCTCTTTCTGGTTTAGTCAAACACATATAGTGGTTTAAGTTATTCCCTGAACACTGGCCGAGAATAGCCTAAACTGACTGGTTTAGTTATCTTCTGTTAATGTATGTACTAACAGCTTCATATTACAATATTACAAAAAAAGAAAAAATTAAAGATATTTTTGTTCCTCCTCATGAAGGAGTAGTCCCAAAGGATCTATAAATTATCCACAGAAAGATGTCAGACACAAGCGTGCTGCTTTCCAAAGGGCCTTGTCAACATGAATCAAAAAGAAAACTGAGCAAGAGCACACAAACAACAAAACATTTGTGTGGTTAGTGGTTTGTTTTAACATAGTTAGATAAGTGGCTTATATAATATCATTACAATATAACTGAATTTATGTACATATATATGCAAACACACAATGTGTGTGAGTGTAAATATGTGCGTGTAGAGTAATTCTTACACCCTGTCTTTTTCCTTTTTTTTTCAGTTTCCGTATATGGTTTTGAATCGCCATAAAAAGTCGTCACTTAATTTTTCTGCTCCCCCCCCCCCCTCACTATCTACCTCATGTTCACATGCTTACAAATACTGTACACACGTAAAAATTGACAAACACACACACACACACACAATTCCTCTTTGGGCAAAGCCCCAGAAATCAGTCTGTTGGTGTAACTGTCCTTGTGTTGTATCCTCATTAACTGGGCGTTAATCGGTTTTCTTGTGAATTGATGACAAAGATTTTTGTTTTTCTTAAAGGAAAGTGAAAGCGTCTCTCTTCAAGGTAACGCTGTGATAAAGAGCTTGAGATGTTGACCCAGTTGTCTGAGAAAGTTTTTATTCTGCAGGACCTCTGAAACCCAACCCACAGAAATCCCTCAAAGTGCTTATTGCTTCTTGGCTCGCTCCTTTTTTGCTTGCAGAACGCTGCTCCGACACCGAAAGCAAAACTCTGCATGAGAAAAAAAAATGCTCCTCTTCAACACAACCACCTTCCTCTGACTGAAAGGGCTGAACGGTGCCCCGTTTACCCCTTGCAGGTGTAGACCTCCTCTCTCTGTGTGCACTGCTTGCATTCAACGTAGCAGCACCAGCGCACCTGGCATTGGCAAGGCCTGGTCACCTCCCTGCTTTGAGTGTTGTGGCCTCGCCCGCAACAGATAGCATCACAGTTTTTGTCCTTGTAGCATTTGCGGGCTGCGGTGCCCGGTGAATATTTGGTGGGTCTACAGAAACTGGGTGAGTCCTCGATGTGGAGCAAGTCCATAGTGCGGGGGATTTGATCGTTCAGGCCGGGCAGGGGCTGTTGTTGTTGTTGCTGCTGCTGCTGCTGCTGCTGCTGCTGATTGCGGCCCGTGGAGATCTCTCCCTCCCCGGTGGCCTCGTTGGTGGAGCTGCCGACCTTGACGGAGGTCTCGTAACGCTGCTTCAGCTGCTTGCCGATCTCATGGAAGGGCTGGAGCTGCCTCCAACAGGTCTGGACGGTGCAGGAGCCAGAGACGCCATGGCATTTGCAAGTGGTCTCCACTCCAGCCTTGATTACCTGGACCAGACACAGAGCAATACTGTTAGCCACTGAGAACCAGTGAAGGCACACAATGAAAGGTATGCAATTTAACAAGCTTTTGTTTAGCAAACAGAACTTGAAAGAGCCAATTCATTAAAGTATTCTCACAACTAGATGAACTGGGTGGAGTACGGCGGCTTGGGAAGGTTATAGACATATATTTTACATTCATTGCTCTCTTTAATATCATAATTAAAGGGGAAAAACTTCACTTATTGCTTGTGAACTAAAGGAGAACAATGGCGTCTGAGGCTTCTTGTATAAAAGAAAAAGTGAATTATAGTTTGTGGGAGGATTGATTTTGTTATAATAACCACAGATGAAACTTTGATTAAACAGTTGTGGTTATTATGATAAGTGAGGGGAGGTTATGGGTAAGAAGAAGCCACAAAACAATCCATTCAGTCAACTATGGGAACCCTTCATACCTCCTCCTATACTGGGTACTTTGCTAAAATGTGTTTTTTAAGCCCAGAGTTGATCAACCCAGCGCTATAGTGCGGTAATTTTGGCATAACCCAGAGCAAAGTCACGCAAACGTTTGGGAAGAGAAAGAATACCGAAGAAACCGTTTTTTTGTCTTACACAAAATCACACATAATTGCAAGTGAAACAGAGGAATTATCAGCTAAAGAGACCACAACACGTTACTTTAATATCACTTGACCCCCTAGCAGTCAGCCAGAGTTCATTTCTGCATCCACCACAATGTGTAAAGCAGAGTGTGTCCACGAGAATCAATGACAATAACATATTGTCTTATACAGGGTTTGGAAACAATTTACAAATCTTTTCTCAGACTGTGAGAGAGATCGGGGAGCAGGAAGCGCATATTCATCACACCAGCAGGTCAAGAAAATTTGATAGGTCAGCCTTTAAAATGTCGGGGGGATGCAGAGGCTCGCACATTCCAATATTGTCCTCGGCGTGGGAATTCATCCTGAGCGAATGCGATACACCTCGCTACACGTGCAAATTACGAAAAGAAAAAAACAAAGAAAGAGCCAAAACAATGTTGTAAATCTTTTATCACAAATAAAATCTCCAAGGAGACTGGATTTAGGAGAGCCAAGTTGAAAAGGAAGAGCTCGCATTCGTTTGGGGGAGAGTTTTATATCTGTTAATATTTGGGAAGTGTGCTTTAGCTGTAATTCATTTTGAAACCAAAATGAAAAAGGCCACAAGAGGCACAAAGCACAGTAAAAGAAATATATTCCAGACCATTAGTTTGCTTTGGCTTGACATATTAGGAGCATTTATTCTGCTATTAAAAACACTTCCAAGATGAAAAACCCGTATTTGCTCACCACAAATTCTACCAGAGCACAAATTAGACTCTTAGCCTATCTAATCTGAGAGAGAAAACCAAATATTGACTAATGAACACTTTTAGATTTCACTAAAATTTACAGCAGCATTACTCTGGGTTTCTTTTAAACTTGTGTGTTGGATTTTTGAAACACTTCACAATTTTCAATTGATTTTCAGGTCCCATCTGGTGATCCTAATTACATATTTGGAGACAGTTAAGATGGAGCCCTTTGAGTCAAACAGCAGTGCTGTAATGTTTAAACTCCAGTACAAAAGCAAAAGCCAAGATATGGAAATGCAGTGTATCCGGGATATGGCGCAAAATGAATCGGTACTTCACATTAATGTTTGCCGACAAAAAGAACTCAGAGTATATTGTATTAATGCTATTTTCCCATCGTTTAAATGATTCATACAAGCAATTAGCAAACCTTTCTGTTTACATAATGTCTGTCTCGCCATATGAACTCTGACCCTCTTCAAACTTTAGTGTGTTTCCTAGTTAGATTCATGTGTATGGAATAACTCAAAGTCTGTAGAAATTGCAGCGTTAATAAAAGGCGAGTGAAGCTGACACTTTGGGTGAATATACTGCTATGAAATTAGAGTTTGATAAATCTTACTTTTTCTTTGACTGTTACTCCTTAAAAGTTTTCCAACATCGCTGACATGTAGATGAATAACTGTCACAAATTAATATGAAGTCGAATTTAATGTTTTCAATAAATTATTAGCTAATATTGTTGCTGTAACAGACCATCATACACTTCTAAGACGCAACAATGTCGTAAAAGGAGTTGGAGATCTGAGATCAAAGCAGCAGATGTTGAGATATTTGCTTTTGTTGCGTCGGCTGACTTTTGGCTCGAAGCACGGGTCAAGCTCCAGAACGAATGAATCCCCCATTTCCCATGGTGCAGCTAGATCGTGTCTTTGGTTAGACCAAGTAAGTAAATAGTGCTATCGGTCGGTACGTCATGACCATTTGACGCACTTACCTTCATGCCCACGTTCGTATTGTGCATGTCCACACGTGCACGTAGATCCTTGTTCGAGCGTTTGCCCAGGAAGTCCTTGACAAACTTGTTTGCGTATTTGAGGTTGTCTCCGCAGCCTCCCCACTGCCACGCCTTACGGTTCTCCAGGTCGGGGGCCTCGTCGCATGTACAGCGCTCCATGCGTCCTGCGCTGCAAGCTTTGGCCATGGCATGAGTTAGACCCGCTGAGGAGATGGCGTACAAGAAGGCCGTCTCTTTAAATCCTAGAGAAGCCCGATGGAGAGTGGCAATTGGGAGACAGGAAAATAAAGGGTTTTCTAAAGAGTTGGCTCACTCACACATTAGGTTTTAAGTACACAAGAATAAAATGCATATTCAAATGGGAAGAAAAGCAGTAATAATCACCTCTTTTTAATATGTTGGCTCGGTGGCGCCCCTCTAAGGTGCAGTTCCACCTCTCAAAGCGGAATTGGTACTGGCATTCTAGGGCGCTCATGGTGATGGCCTCTCTTAGAGTCTCCGCCACGCCCGGGTCTCGTCTGCACATCCTGCGCTGCTTCTTTTCTAGTTTGAGCCGGTCACACAGCTTGAAGTGGGCCCTGCCTATGCTCTCCTCTGGTAAAGAGTTCAGTGGCAGGACAGACAACGGTTCATTACCTGTCAACCTGGAAGAAAACATCACAAGCCATTTGGAAACAGAAAGATACTGGGATTGTCTTGATAAAGTATTCAGACAGAACAACAGGATACTGACCTTCCTGAACAAACAAAAAGTAGCAAAGCTATACTGCATAAACAGCACAGGAAGCACAGCTGCTCACATAATGCTCAAAAGTTTGGTTAATGTTCAAATGAATTCAGCTGTTCAGTGGTTAATGTTCAGGGGAATTCAACATTTGCTGGAGATTGAGATCAACTCTCGGTGGAGGTCTGAGTAAAGAGCAAATTCTCTGCAGTGGTGGAAAAGTCAGGTTTACCATGTAATTTTTTTGAATTTTGGATACCTAAAAATCCTGTTGTAGAACAATGGAGTTATAATTAGCTTTTGTTTTAAAGCAAAGGAGAAACAAATTATACTGTTAGCATTTTTGTGAGTAGTTTTTATCCACAGGGAAATTTAAAAGAAACGGGGCACTTAATGTAAGAGTGCCTTTGGAGTACTTTCAAAAAAGAAAATGTACTCAGCAACTTTAGGTTATTTCAGAAGCAGGTAAATCAATATCTCTGCCCCTTATAAGGAAGTACACAGTATTATTAGTGGTGTGGGCTGTATTATAGATCAGACCTCCTTTATTTAAAAATACCTGTAGTTGTAATTAGTTTCTCCTCTCCTTTAAAACTGAAAAAAGGTTACTTACTATGTTATTTTAGTGTAGTGACATTTTAAGTACCAGTAGGAACACAAATCTTTGTACTGACAATTGCAACCTATTCACAAAGATTTACATGGGCAACTGGACCGTAGGTTATGGGCTGTATATTGAAGTTCTACCAAAAGTTCCTGAAATCAATTTTTTTCCATTTTACAGCAATAAACTTCCAGCATCAGCTGCATACTGACCACTTTAATACTGCAGTACAAGGTTATAATGTGCAGATAACAAGGCATTCAGTTAGTGTGGGGACATTTTAAACATTTGTATTCTGTGATCGTGTCTGATGTGTTACAGTAAAACAGTAGCCAGCAAATGGTTGGTTAAATATTTATACCAGATCCTTCAGATGGGTGGCAGGTTGTACCTCGCTGTACAGATTTAAACATGGCACACAGTATTGCTGCTGTCATTATAAATAGTCTTATATATCGTATAAAAGTCTTTACATCTGAAAATCTAGACTTTCTGTAGGGGACATAAAACGTGGTGATCTTTTTAGTTCTGTGTTTCTGTCCCAACTCACTCTGGGCTAAACTCTCATTTATGATGTCATCAAGGGGTTTCACTTAGGGGCAGACTGGAACAGCAATTTGACTCCACACCACTCTGTTCATGCAAATTGTAATCGAGTACTACCTGGTGATCAGGCTTTTTACTACATAATTATTATGTCAAAAGATTATTGGACATCCACTTTGGAAACTGGAAAGAATGTTGGTGGTGAAAGTGTCGGTATCTACAAAGAAAAAAAATGAAATAAAATAAACTCAAGAATAAACAAAAGAACAACTAGTTAATTCATGTGCTCTTTTATTATGTGATGTTGACATAATATTGTTATCTGATTTGACATAATGCCACGGTTATCATTAATTATGGTATGTAGCAAAACCCCGTCACTGAAACTGGCCCATTTATCTGGAATAAATGTTAACAACATTATAAACACAATGGGACCAACCAGCCAATCTCAACACTGAGGTTTTCAGGTATGCCAACAGTGCTCTCAAAATGCCCACAAAGAAAACCTTGAACTCTGCAGCTTTATTTTTTGACAAACAAAAGTATCAAACAAAATCCCCCGAAACTGAACTTAAGATACACCGCCACAAGAAATGTGTGTGTTTAAGCTACAGTCCACCCAGACCCAGACCCTTTTTTTTAACCTTTTATATTGACCATCCTTTAAAAGGATGGTCTTCTTCTTAACAGGTGTTACCTTCTTAACAGGTGTTACCTGTTAAGAAGCACTCCCTTGCAGAAAGCGAGAATGAGCAGATTCAAGTGCACATCTGTGCAAGTCTTTGGGGTGTGAACTCTGATGCTAAGCATGCTGTGGAGATGCATGCAGTCTGCAGGAGTCAAGGGTGTCTGAGAGGTCTGTCAACTCACTCCTGTTTGCTACATATAATGTAGCAAACAGTCAAGATGACTGTTCACAGTAGCCCAAAGTGGCCCTTAGGCTACTGGGAAATGACACGGTGCTCCAGACAGCCAATGGTTAAAGTTAATCCCAGCGCTCTTGATGAAGAGAGTACAAGTTAGAAATTATATTTTTAAATAATGCTTAAACAAAATTTGTTGTTTATTATTACGCTCAGCAACATTTATGAATCAAACAAAGGCAGACCATCAGGAATGAGCTTAAGACTCTAAGAACAACTGCATAAACGAGGCACCTGTATTCATCCTACGGCTGCAAAGTACTTTAAATACAGCAAGCAAGAATTTTGATTCTAAACATGGTATGGAGAACATGTGGCAGACTTGCACTCCTTTCGTCCGTTTATTTAGGGGATGCATATATAAAACACAAAGCGGGGACTGCCACATAGCTGGCAAAACCTATAACCAGCGTTCTGAGGTTGTGATGGAGAGCGCAGGGCATTACTTTCATAAACACACACGGGGGACATGACTGTCAGCCTGTGACCATTTTGGTCACACCAACTGACAGACTGGCACCCTAGTTGTTCATTATGTGTAATTTCTGGCCTCCTTTACACTGTTAAAGTGAAACTGAAGAATAAATGGATTTACTGAACTCACAAAATGCACAAGCTCTCTGGCCTGTGTGCTTTTTGCAGCCGGACTTCAGACTTTTGAAGGATACTTGTGCAAGGAGCGACACCGTATTTATCAATGAGATTATTTATCAATGACCTGGACTCCTGGCATTCAGTGTAGGCTGAATTTTCCAGTGCACTAAGGCACTAAGGATTACAGCTTGCACATGTCAACACCAAGGCACAACATCTGAAAAAGCGTACTTGAGAGACAGTAAAGAATTATTTTATTTTGAAAAGAGAGCAATCGGAACTGCATTTGCCAATGTTTGCTGCTTTCAGCTGTGATGACAAAACACATTTAGTATTTAAGATTAACACTTTAATCCTTCATATTTCCACTATCACAGCACTAATATACCAACAGTCATAAATTGTTGTCCATCCGTTCCTGGTTGCTAAAAGTATGCATACAGCCAAACCAATTAAAAGAAGTCCAACTTTATAACTGTGAAGTGTAACCGCAGCAAATGGGAACGTTGCCTCACAGTTTACTACAGCCAAGCAGTCTGAAAAGAAGATGGAAATAAATTCTGCAATATTTTTGTAAAGGTGCAGAGCACCTGCTCACTGTCTACACCTGGTTAGTTAATGTACCAGAAGCGTTGATTCGCATTACTCACATTTTAGACTTCTTTATTATTTTTCAGAGAATATTCTGTCACCACTCATGATCACTTGAGTCACGAACAGAAGGTCACAGGATTTATTCAACACAAGATTTGTTTTATTAAGTCCAATAACCGACTGAAATGTTTCCCCTCGAGTGCTCAATTTAATATCAGTGAACTTAATAGTTCACAGATGTTATTTGATATTTTTCTTTACAATAAATTCATAGTCTGGTTGAGAATCCGTGTAGTCAAATCAAAAAAGGAGTCCTCGGGGTTTGCTTTCAGAATGGCTCGAACGGTTTTCTTTTTGCAAAGTGTGTTTGCCTATTCTTAACTTCTCTGACAGCAAGTTCAAATGGAAACCTGGCAAGCTGTGTCTTGACAGAGATCGCCCTCCCAACACACTTGGAGAATAAGAAAAATGTATGGTTTGAGGCGTACGCAGTGAGGCAAAGGGTGTCTTTCTCTGAACAACTGACATTTTCCTCTAAATTGTTTCACGCTTTGTTAAGACACTCTGATTGCAATGTCAAGGAAACAAACATAAAATCTCTAAACAAACAAATCCAACGTGCCTGACGTGTCGCGTACGATTGCCAACCTTTCCTCAGCACTTCTTTTGCAAGCGAATGTCAGGGATTGAATAACGCTGCGGAGCAAAGAACCTGTCATGTTAAAGAACATGTAAGACTTTTTTTTTTAATGCACACAACATTTTGCTCATGCAAATGTCTGGGAAGGAACGCAGAGACATCGATTAAGTGTACTGCTTTGGAAAGACTGCTAATGGCAGCTGAAATATACAAATACCAATATGCTGTGGACATTCCTCAGAAAGACATGCACAGTAACACATATCAGCTCAGACCTTCCCAAACCCCTACATGCCTGCAAGTATTAGAACGACAGGCCTCAGATGCCTCGGTAACGTCTACTTGTCTGAGACAAAAACGATGGTAAGCGTGAACCTGGAGGGAAGCCAAAGATGACACGACACTGATCTCAGCACCGCTGTCTCTTTTTCAAAGAAAGGTGGGGGTTTTTCTAGCTAGTTGCAAAGAAAGCCTGAGGGCAAAGCGAGGAGGAGACGGACATTCGAGCAGAGAAATACTTCTTCACATCTCTGGAGAAGAAACTACTGGCCAAAGCTCACTCTTGTGCAATGTTTCCACTCTGTGGCAGACGAGAACGCAGTCAAATAGTATCGCAGATGTACCGTGCTTTATTTTCTTCTATATTTTAAAAAAAAAATGTTTACAAATGGATGCACTTTTTAATACTTGAGGAGAGGAGTTGTTCATTTTAATCCGATTCAAATTCGCTGGATTCAAGATAATATTTTCCCTGGATGAAGGACAGTGACCCCTGCTATCACACAAAAGGGTCGCACACATTCCAATAAGATGATCTGAGAAAATAAATAAATAAATAAATCACACTGCTGTTTGCTGAAGAATGAACTCATTCAACTCGCTAAGAGGAAAAGAATTGGATAAGAGTCAACCTGGGTCAATCATAAAGTCGACTCTGAGACTCGGACAAAAAGGAGTAACTGGAGTCTTCCTGCAACGGTAACAACAATCGCTCGCTCCATGAGAGCGTTTCTTAA